TTAGTTTAGTTTAGTGTTTAGTTTAGTGTTTAGTTTAGTTTAGTTTAGTTTAGTGTTTAGTTTAGTTTAGTTTAGTGTTTAGTTTAGTGTTTAGTTTAGTTTAGTTTAGTTTAGTGTTTAGTTTAGTTTAGTTTAGTGTTTAGTTTAGTGTTTAGTTTAGTTTAGTGTTTAGTTTAGTATTAAGTTTAGTTTAGTTTAGTGTTTGGTTTGGTTTAGTTTAGCTTAGCTTAGTTTAGTGTTTAGTTTAGTGTTTAGTTTTAGTTTAGTGTTTAGTTTAGTTTAGTTTAGTTTAATGTTTAGTTTACTTTAGTGTTTAGTTTCGTGTTTAGTTTAGTGTTTAGTTTAGTGTTTAGTTTAGTGTTTAGTTTAATTTAGTATTTAGTTTAGTTTAGTGTTTAGTTTGGTTTAGTGTTTAGTTTAGTGTTTAGTTTAGTTTAGTTTTTAGTTTTTAGCTTTTAGCTTATTTTATTTTTTATTTTATTTTATTTTTTATTTATTTTTTATTCATTTTTTATTCTTTATTTTTTATTCTTTATTTTTATTTTATTTTATTTTTTATTTTATTTTAAAATTTATTTTAAAATTTATTTTTATTTATTTTTATTTATTTATTTTTGTAAAATAAAATAAGCAACTTAGAACTGAGGAGAAATTTCCTGACAGTGAGAACAATTAATCCGTGGAACAGAAGTTGCCTCCAGAAGTTGTGAATGCCCCAACACTGGAAGTCTTTAGGAAGATGCTGGATAGCCATTTGTCTGAAACGGTGTAGGGTTTCCTGCCTAGGCAGGGGGTTGGACTAGAAGACCTCCAAGGTCTCTTCCATCTCCATTATGCTATTCTATTCTGTTAAATATAAGCCTCTTTTCCCCCACCCACCTGGCATTCCTTGTTTCCAGTGGTCAAAAGATGCCAAATTCAATCAGAAAACTCTTCCTTTAATTTTAACATTTTTATTGAGTTATAAAAGAAGTCACAAAATGCAAAAGCAAAGACTCTCGCAGACTGTGTGCAAATATTGCCACCCTCGCTAGAGGGTAGAATTTGTGTCTTAATGTTTCCGTGTCTTTTCTCCACCCATGCTCAGATACCCCGTCATTTTGTCCATCGAAAACCACTGCAGTGTGACCCAGCAGAAAAAGATGGCCCAGTACCTGGTTGAAATTCTGGGGGACAAACTGGACTTGTCCACAGTCAACAACGAGGATCCCAACGAGTTGCCTTCCCCAGAGAGCCTCAAGGGGAAAATCTTAGTTAAGGTAATACCAAGATAAACATCATTTAGCCAGGGATCAGATTTGGTTGGCGTCTCTCTGGCAGCCAGAAATCGGCCCAGAACCTCCTCTTGGTCTCTCCCAAGGAACTGGGTCGCTATATTTAAGCTGGCTAGCAGCCAATTGAAACCAAAAGTCAAAGCCAGTGGACCTTATTTAACCGTTGATCGGCTTTATGTGATACAGGAGATAAAACAAGATCAAAGATAAGGTGCAGACAATAAAAGAGGGGAGGGGAGGGAGAATAGGAGAGGATATAGAATAGAACAGAATATGGAATGGAGTAGAATAGAGTAGAGTAGAATAGAATAGAGAATAAAAGAGAATAGAATAGAATATCACAGAATAAAATGTAGAATAGAATAGAATATGGGATGGAGTAGAATAGAATAGAACAGAATAGAACAGAATAGAATAGAAAATAGAGAAGAGTAGAATAGAATAGAATAGAATAGAGAATAAAAGAGAGTAGAATAGAATAGAATATCACAGAATAAAATGTAGAGTAGAATAGAATATGGAGTGAAGTAGAGTAGAATAGAGTAGAATAGAATAGAAAGAATAAAAGAGTAGAGTAGAATAGAATATCACAGAATAAAATGTAGAGTAGAATAGAATAGAATATGGAATGGAGTAGAATAGAATAGAATAGAGAATAGAAAAAAGAGAATAGAATAGAATAGAAAAGAGAATAAAAGAGAGTAGAGTAGAATAGTTCCCAACTGGGAACTACAAAAGAAGACGAGCTGGGGAGCAACTTTCTCCCAGATCTTCTCCAATCTCCGTCCATCTTGGAGACAATCCATCTTTGGGCCCAGCGGAGTAATTTAGAAGAAATTGGCCATTTGCACCATGCCAAGTCTCAACCCAAAAGTATTTAGATGAAGTTGCCCCTTGCAATTGAGATTTTGTCATTGGGCTAGTTAGATGCACCCCCAAGGCTTCAAACCGATTGGAAGATTCAGTGGCCTTTTTTATGGTAGCCACACCACCACATTTCAGGGGGCTGAATCAGACCTGCTCCAGGAGGTTAAAGTAACTAAACAGGGTTTAGTCATTAAACTTTAATTCATTCGCCCCTCGGATCCTTCCAAACCTATGATCAAAAAATTAAATAAACACATTTTTCTTTGAGTTAAGCCCTTCTTTCTTCCCCGCACTTTCCCTCCCTCGTTTCTGCGCTTTACGCTGCGAGGAGTTTAATTCTTTTGCCCCCCCCCCAAAAAAAACAGTTTTAAAAAAATCTGTGGCAGCTGCCCAGTTCCTCCATGATTGGATTTTTGGAGTGGTGCACATCGAGGCTCGCTTTTTTGAGAGGCTTTGAGCCTCTCGAAAGCAATTCATTTCCACTCAAGCTTTCATCCAGGTTTCGCATTCTGCTCTCCTAACCGGGTTTTTTTTTTGTTTGTTTTTTGCCAGCTTCTGCACCAGCCGATCAATCTAAAATCCCCTTCTGGGATTTTGTGGCGAGAATTATTGATCGATAAATATATATCTCTCCCTCCTTTGCCCTGTTGGAAACTCTCTTTGTGGTGAGATGGAGGGAGGTTTAGCTAGAAAGAAAGCAGTTTGGTCAAGATTTGAAGCCAGATGAAGGAAAATACTGTATTTTTCGGAGTATAAGACCCACTGGAATATAAGATGCACCTTATTTTTGGGGAAGAAAATAGGGGCGGGGGAGGGAATTCTGCCTGCCAGATATTCCTCTGGATAGGGCCCTTAATTTGGTCAGCTTCAGCACATACTGTATTGTTCGGAGTATAAGACGCACCTTAGTTTTTGGGGAAGAAAATAGGGGCGGGGGAGGGAATTCTGCCTGCCAGATATTCCTCTGGATAGGGCCCTTAATTTGGTCAGCTTCAGCACATACTGTATTGTTCGGAGTATAAGACGCACCTTCCCCCCCCTAAAATAGGGTGAAAATGTGGGTGCATCTTATACACTGAATATAGCCCCATCCATGCACCAGCCCCAACCCTTTGACTTCTGCCTCCCAGCAATTTAACTTTTTGCAGCAAACGGGGCCTTCAATAAGCTACAGCAATCCCTGCAGCCTGTAACAGCTAATGATCCGGAGGAATTGAAAGTGAAACTTGCTGTTTGCTCCCGGTGGCAAACTGCTGGGAGGCAGATGCTAATCGGGCTGTTTGCTGCAAGGAGGTAAGTCAACAACTATAAACACCGATAGAACGTTCAAATTATTAGACTTATTTTTTTAAAGACTGCTTTATTTATTATTGTTCTAGACAGCTTAACAAAACGGAGAAGCTTTTCAAAATAAATGCTTGTGCTATTGTTTTTAAAAAAGTGCTATTCTTTTAAATAGCAGAGAATGGCTATACTTCCAGAAAGCACATCAATTTTAACAGCATCTGTACAAGTATACTCTGAAATATAACACTACAAACGATGTATATCGTCTGTACTGTTTGTTGCAAGGAGGGAAATTGCTCAGAGGCAGAGGCAGATATTTTTCCCTTGTTTCCCTCCCCCCTTCCCCCCAAAAAATATCTAGATGCGTCTTATACTTCGGAGCGTCTTATACTCTGAAAAATACGGTACGTTTTCTGGCTTTGAACACGGTTGGGGATAAAAAAACCAGCTTCTAAAGCACAGCTGATCATCTGGTTACTCCTGAGCCCATGTTTCTGCCACCTCCACCTCTCATAATAAGCTTGCTTCGAAAATAAAGACATTATTTATTGATGTCGTCCGTAATTCCCCTTTTCTCCTCTATGGATAGAGTGAGATAAAGGGGATAGAGGAGAATAGGGGGTAGGGGGGAAAGAGGGAATTATACAAGACATCAATAAATGATATTCTTCCTTTGATTTTGGCACAGCGACGAGAACGCCAGTTGGTGTTGGGTGTTTAGTCCTCGCTTAGTGACCTATTTTTGCCTCCTAGGGGAAAAAACTTCCTGCCAACATAAGTGAAGACGCCGAAGAGGGCGAAGTGTCCGATGAGGACAGCGCGGATGAGATGGACGATGACTGCAAGCTAATGAATGGGGACGTAAGTATTGGCAGGTAGAGTCGAGGTCTTGTTGACCAAACCCAACCACCTCGGGGTTGACCTGGGGAAGGAGAAGGATGGAGAAACATGTCTCACTTAGCAACAAAAATTTTTGGCTCCATTGTGGTCATACTTCGAGGGCTTTCCTTCCTGCTGGCTTTTGTCCCACATCTGTGATGTGTTGGTCCATGAGACACCCAACACACCAAATGTCTTGGCCACAACAGAACTCTTTCTGCTGCTTTGCCTACCGCTGATAGACTTTGTCTAAGAGCAGCCCAGGGCAAGGTGGAATTAAACATCCCGGACTAAATAAAATACAAATATTATTTCCCCCCCCCCCATACTTAAAAAAAAATCTTTTACAAACATATCAGTGTGTGAACAGTATGGTACCTGACTATCATACATATCATACAGGGGTGAAATCCAGCAGGTTCTGACAGATTCTGGAGAACCGGTAGCGGAAATTGTGAGTAGTTTGGAGAACCGGTAGCAGAAATTTTGAGTAGTTCAGAGAACTGGTAGCGGAAATTTTGAGTAGTTTGGAAAACCGGTAGCGGAAGTTTTGAGTACTTCAGAGAACCGGTAGCGGAAATTGTGAGTAGTTTGGAGAACTGGTAGAGGAAATTTTGAGTAGTTTGGAAAACCGGTAGTGGAAGTTTTGAGTACTTCAGAGAACCGGTAGCGGAAATTGTGAGTAGTTTGGAGAACTGGTAGAGGAAATTTTGAGTAGTTTGGAAANTCAACAGCTCCAGTCCTAACCGAGGACCTAGGAACTGCTAAGGTAACATCGGAGGATATAAGCTGTTCCAAGTAGGGTGGTCTGATAACTGGTTTAGCGCCCTCTCCTTCAGCAGTCCTCGGAGAAATGACAGGGTCTCCTTGCCAGCTGCCCCATTCGTGGAATTGTTTGGCCGGAAGCTGCCCCTGCAGGGAACAGCAGGTGGGAATCAATTGTCAAGGACACCTCACTCCCCCCCCACTCCAGGGCATCTGCTACAGGCGCCAATGTTTCCCTTACACTTGCTAGCAATTCCATCCTCAGTCACTGCAACCAGCTTTTTAATTTACTTTACCGTTTTTTGGCCCGAAAAACAGCCTGAAAAGGGCCCGAAAAACAGCCTGAAAAGGGCCCCGAAAAACAGCTTAATTTTGGGACACTTTGGCTGTTTGCAGGCTCCAGGATCCCTTCCAACTCGCTATTCTATCTGCATTCAGTTTAGTCTTGCAACAATGAGAACTCTTGAGATTTCTAGCTTTGATAAACTTCCCTCTTAAAAAGAAAAGTAAAAACCAGCACTTTCTCTCTCTCTCACACACACACACAGACACAACAAAAGGATTCCTAAGATTGATGGGCAGCCGATTACAACCAAGCTACATTCTGTCCTTCCCCCCCCCCCTCCGGCAACACCCGCTCTGCCATGTCAGCTTCTCTTCTTCTCCCCACATCCTCACCACCGCCACCAAAATAACTCTAGCAGTTACTCCTCACCCTCCCTTGTCTGAAGCTGTCGCTTTGCGGAGTGTCCGCCTTCATAAAAATATTGATTCCGCGCGAGCAGATTGAGTTAAAGTCAGGTTTGAAAAATGAGTCTGCCTTGGTTTTATTCCGATAAGGAATTGAGGGAAGGAGAACAGAAGATAAATGGAGATGGATGGAGAACTACTTGGGGAAAAGAAAGATAGGTAGATAGATAGATAGATAGATAGATAGATAGATAGATAGATAGATAGATAGATAGATAGATAGATAGATAGATAGATAGATAGA